GCATCCATCTCATCTTCAACATCATCATCCTCAAACTCATCTTCATCATCTTCTGAATCATCAAGTTCATCAATTTCATAATTTTCTGCTTGTTCATCGACTTCATTGTTTTCCGCTTCTTTATTGACTTTCTCTTGCTCTTCAGGTCTTGCAACTTTCACATAATTGCAAATCCTCTTTGCCTTTTCAAAGCGGGCAGAGAAAGATTTTAGTAAAGAGTCTGCATCAGGATGAGGGCATACTGACATAAATCTCACAGCAATGCACAACCTCAAGCAATCAAGTATATGAGAGGAGAACCATCCTGTTGTACTATCGCAAGTTTCTTGATTTGAGGGTTTCCTGATTTCTTGTTGAATGTAGTCGTCCTTGAGTTCACAAAGCTGCAATGACATCTGACATTTATACGGAAAAACTCGGAAGGCACATATATCATCCCATCTATGTTTCAATCCAGATGATAATTGGCTCTCACAGTAGCTTCGTAATTTAGGGTTGTGTACTCGGAAATCAATATTCTGGTATACGCGAGATTCAGGATCCTTCCGAGGATCATACCCTTTTTTTATCCAAAATCTACGGAAAGGCCCATTCAAAAAGTAATATGCAACTCTAACAAGAAGCTTTTTGAGCTTGCTCTCTCCAACCTCCAGACCCCCATCACGCAAGCGCTCAGGTAATGACTCTTTGGCCCATATTTGACGCTCTTCAAACAGCTCATATACCACTTTCTGCCATCTCCAATCATCTGAGCCCTGAAGTATGATCTTTTCCCAATCCACAGGTTTAGGAACCTCTTTGATATTAAAATCAATGCCAAGATTCCGCTCCATCTCCATCTCCCTCTCCCAATTTTGCCAGTCAAGTTCGTCCTGTTTTTTTTTCGAGCTCAAACTTGCACAACATTTTAATACAATATTTACAGGCATATCTTTTAAGGAGAACAGATGAGGTAGTAAAATCATCAAATCCTCCTGATCGACATCCATAAGACCTCCCTTCTCAAATTTAGGTTCCACATCTGCCCACTGTCTCTTTTTTCTTCTTGCAACATCAGCATGAACAGCAAGAACATGCTGATAGTCTACCATTCCATTAAAATGATAAGCTTCAGCAACATGAGAAACAATATTAGCCGAGAGATGCTCCTGGAAATTAGTAGTTGTCATCAAACATCTAGACTCATTCACCTTTTGTGCAGTTAATGAATGTGAATTTTCTTGTTCCCAGTTAACAGGACTTATTGAAGATTGTCTCGATATCCCACAACTACTATCGACATCCCTTACTTTAGTCTTGGAAATTTTCAGCAAGAAATTATTGCTATGCTTAAGCTCCCCGAAGGCAGGGTGTGAATAAGGATCTTCTGGACGGAAATAGAGCTCCAACTTATTTGACTGTGAAGTACGAGCCTTGACAATGCCTTGAATGCCGCCAAGAGTCTCAACAGCGCGTTCCATTGAAGAAGTGTAAGCAGGGTAATGTACAACAAAGACCTTGTTAGTGGGTAATATTCCTGATACTGAACCATCTTTTATAATCCCCATACTTTATTTCTCCGAAGGAGTTGAATGAAGTGTTTATATACTGCTGCTTGCGACTCTGTTCAATCAAAAACTTGCGTGTAAATAATCCTGACACAAAATTTTGCACATTAATAAAAGGGAGTAGAAAATTGCTCAAGGATTCTGGAGGAACTATTTTATCAGAGTAAAAATTGAAATTTCTATTAGTAAATTGAGCAAAATTACAACTGTCTATGTTCAAAGAGTGGCATTATACTTAAACACGTTTTGGAGCTACTGCGCAATAGAAATCTTCATCCCAAAATTGACTACGTCTATTCATACTATGCGTCAAAGGAGATACAATATGCTAATAAATGCGATAAAAAATTCCATGGATCCACCAAAAAACAAAAGAAAGAAAAAGCATCAAACAATTACAGTTAAATTTATCAGTTAAAGTTATAATCACAGTGGAGATTAACTATTGAAATTAAATATCGAATAGAACTTGTAGTGCAAAAAGGAACTTACAAACTTGTGGTACAAATTCCAAGAGATTTATGCAGAAGGCGAGAAAACGAAAGAAAAGAAGAGGAACAAAACAGAAACGCAGCTAAACGTAATAGCGCCAGAGGACAGAAAAAGAGATGAAAAAAATGAGAACACGAATTTGAGAAACCGAAGAAATTTGTGCGAATTCTTGGTTTGTTGAAAAAGGAACGAGTTTTTGGCCAATATGTTAACGTCGGTCTATTTTGGTACCTCAAGTATAGTTCTGAGCATATTTAGTCCCTTAAGTATGCTAAAGTGGAGCATATTTAGTCTCACTAACACAATGTGTTCAAAAACTAACGGTGTTACCCAACTCTGATTCATGAAGCAAATCTTCTGTTCTGAAGTAAAACGTTTTCTCTCTTTTTATTGGATAACATAAATTATCATTTTAATTCCTCATTTTTAGATAATGTCTTCTAAAATTTTGACCTTGAAAATATCCCCTTCTGTGCCAGTTTTCAATGAGAAAATGACACTGTATAGCCGCTGTAAAAATAATAGCTGAAAAAATATATAAAATTTGTATATTTTTTGTATATATAATTTTTTTTTTGTATGTTAATATACAAAAATTATACAAATTTTATATATATTTTTCGCTACTAGATGTAAATAGTTTTTGGCACTGGCTAAAAGTGATAATACAACCTGATTATTCGTTTGCTTCAATAATATGCCTAGAAGTGATCCTAGTAGCTCTAGTTTTTTCAAATTTTAACTTTTCTTTTTGGAAAAATCAACCAAAATTTTTAAATGTATATATATACAAACAAATATACAAATTTTATATATTTTTCGCCTATTATTTTTACGGCGGCTATACAGTGTCATTTTTTCATTGAAAACTGGCACAGAAGGGGATATTTTCAAGGTAAAAATTTTAGAAGACATTATTAAAAACGAGGAATTAAAGTGATAATTTGCGTTATCCAATAAAAGAAAAGGAAACGTTTTGCTTCAGAGCAGAAGATTTGCTTCATGAATCAGAGTTTGGTAACACCGTTAGTTTTTGAACACATTGTGTCGGTGAGACTAAATGTGCTCCACTTTAGCATACTTAAGGGACTAAATATGCTCAGAACTATATTTGAGATACCAAAATAAACCTACCCTAAAAGATAAATGACAATATTGGTCGGAACAGTGTAGATGAAAAAAGTGAAATTAGGTTAAAATAATTGCAATTATTTTTGAAAGGGAACTTTTCCTTCTTTGCATCAATAATTGTTATAGCTTTTTAAGTGCTCAATTTTGGTAAATTACACTCAACACTCCACTAATTTGTAGATACGCTCACTTTATTCAACAAATCAAATACTTACATTACCTTTATTGTGGAAATCTCGCACAATATTAGTTTGAATGTGATTTTCGTTTTATTAGAGTGTTAAGTATTTATTTTTGAGAAAACATATATGAATATCCATAATTAATAAGTATAATAAAAGTGGCAGTATTGGTTTTTAGGCTTACTTTTATTTTGGGAATGCATTGAAAAATACTGGACATAAAATTACTGGAGGGAATACTACTATGCACGGTTAAGTTATTTTGGGATCACATATCTAACTTTTTTAATATTTAGAAATTTGAAACCAACTAAGTACAATTTTGCTTATTAAATCGTTTCTTATTTGAACTAAGTATGAAGTCCCAATATTTACGAATTTAAAATCAATTAAGATATTATTTTCGTTCCAATGAATTCATTCTAATACTCAATTATTTATCGTTTAAGGAAAAAGAAAAAGAAAAACAGACATGAGATCAAGATGATTTGCTCGTATAATTAATTTCATAGAGTTGAATTGCGAAGGGAGAAACAATAAGCAAGGTAAAAATAGTACGGGCTAGCCAGAATAGCTAACGTTTGCAAAATCATTGAAAAATAGTCATTATTTTGCTGCAACACGGACCGGTCCAGCATAATATACTGGAGATTGGTGCACATGTGTATGAACTTCCAGCATATTATGCTGGAGCAGTATATTATATTGGAACTCCAATATATTATGCTGAAATATTTTTCGAATTTTGAACAGTATTTTCGTTCAGATTTATCTTTAGGAGAAATTTTTGTTAGGAGAAATTCCAAATGCATAGGGAAAGAGGCACCTTGCAAATTTGAGTTAATTTTTCAGAAATTCGTATGACCAGAGAAATCGGGTTGTGTTATAAAATAAAAAACGGTAAAGTAAAGACAAGTATAGAGAGAAACTGATATATTATTCAAATTTCAAACTTATGTACATAATGAACTGAAAACTCCTCTATTTATAGAAGAAAGGAAGCAGCTGCGAGGCTTTTCAGGAAGCAGTTGCGAGGCTTTTCTTTAGCTGCTTGTAAGTTGTCTGCATGAGCTGCTTGCAACCTGCCTGTTTAATAAGAAATTGTTGCAAATCATTTCATTGAACTGCTTGCAACTTGCCTGCATCAGCTGCTTGTAGATAAACTTCAACAAAGTACTAAATGGATAATCTTTTTCAGGAAGATTATCTATAGCGGAGTAATAAATAAACATCCACAATATAATTATTTTCATAACACTCCCCCTTGGATGTTCATTAAAAGGTATTGTGCCTCGTTAAAACCTTACTAGGAAAAACCCAGTGAAAAAAATTCTAGTGAAGGAAAAAGAGTACACATATTTAGTAATACGCATTTCTAGCTGCCTAATTAAAAACCTTATAAGAAAAACCATGTGGGAAAAAACCTTAGTAAGGAAAAAAGAGTACATTGCGTATTTTACTCCTCATGATGAAAACCTTGTTTCAAATGTTTGAGTCTTCGCATTCCAATCTTGTATACCATCTTCTCAAAAGTTGAAGTTGGCAAAGATTTAGTGAATAAATCTGTCGGATTGTCACTTGAACGGATTTGCTGCACATCAATGTCACCATTTTTCTAAAGATCGTGTGTGTAGAATAATTTTGGTGAAATGTACTTCGTTCTATCTCCTTTTATAAATCTTTCCTTCAATTGGGCTATGCATGCAGCATTGTCTTCGTATAAAATTGTGGATCTTTTATCACACTCCAAACCATATTTTTCTTGAATAAAATGAATCAATGATCTCAACCGTATGCATTCCCTACTTGCTTTATGAATAGCTATTATCTCAGCATGATTTGAAAAAATAGAAACAATTGAGTGCTTTGTGGAGCGCCATGATATGACAGTACCTCCACATGTAAACACGTACCCGATTTGAGATTGAGCTTTATGAGGATCAGATAAATAACCTGCATCTGCATAACCAACAAGATTTGCATTACCTTTGTTAGCATAAAACAAACCCATATCAAGAGTTCCCTTTAAATATCGCAAAATATGCTTAATCCCATTCCAATGTCTCCGAGTACGAGAAGAGCTATATCTTGCTAGTAAGTTAATAGAAAATGTTATGTCAGGCCTTGTAGCATTAGCAAGATATATAAGTGCATCAATTGCACTGAGATAGGGTGTTTCAGGACCAAGGAGTTCCTCATCCTCTTCTGGAGGTCGGAACGGGTCCTTATTCACTTCAAGTGATCGAACAACCATTGGTGTACTCAATGGGTGCGCTTTGTCCATGTAAAAGCGTTTTAAGACCCTTTCTGTATAGGCAGATTGATGGATAAAGATCCCGTCTGCTAAATGTTCAATTTGCAGACCAAGACAAAGTTTTGTCTTTCCAAGATCTTTCATCTCAAATTCTTTCTTAAGATATTCAATTGCCTTTTGGAGCTCTTCTGGAGTTCCAACAAGATTTATGTCATCAACATAAACAGCAAGTATAACAAATTCTGATGCCATTTTCTTTATAAAAATACATGGACAAATAACATCATTTATGTAACCCTCTTTCAGTAAATATTCATTAAGGCGATTATAACATATGCGCTCAGATTGCTTTAAACCGTACAAAGATCTTTGTAATCTGATTGAATACATTTCCCGAGATTTCGAATATGCTTCAAGCATTTTAAATCCTTCAGGGATTTTCATGTAAATCTCATTATCAAGTGACCCATACAGATAAGTTGTAACCACATCCATCATATGTATTTCAAATCTTTCACGTAAGGCTAAACTGATGAGATATCAAAATGTTATGACATCCATAACTGGTGAATATATTTCTTCATAATCGACTTCGGGTCGTTGTGAGAATCCTTGTATGACAAGGCGAGCCTTGTATCTTTTAACTTCATTTTGGTCATTCTTTTTTCGCACAAAAACCCATTTATGACCAACTGTTTTACACCAGCAGGTGTTTGGACTACTGGTTCAAAGACCTCTCTTTTAGCAAGTGCGTTCAATTCTGATTGAATTGCCCCTTGCCATTTTGGCTAATCAGATCTTTGTTGACATTCTTCGACAGATCGGGGTTCACAATCCTCACTATCTTGCAGAATGTTAAGTGCAACATTGTATGCAAAAATATTATCCACCACTATTTCAGATCGATTTAAATTAATCCCATCACCAGTAGAACTTATTAA